ATATTATTAACCGATAAATTATTTGCTAAACGAGGAGCATTCTAACGAAATACATAAGGCCTGCTTTTTTCAATATAAAAGCGCATTGTTGTCTAATTATAACTCAGAAAATAACGAGGTTTCGGCCTTCCTCCTCTATTTGCACAGTGTCGGCTTTCAGCTATTGTCGCGCATTGTGTCCAGCCAATCCCTGTAGAGGGGATTGTGGAGAGTACTGATTTGGGGTATGGATGTGTAAGAGTATTCCCATTAAATAAAGTGAAGGATCGTTATTCTGTCAATTAGAACTGTACTAGAATGTTTGTCACTACGAAACAACTGGTGCTGTTTAGACTTCTCAAGATCCACGATGCAAAGATGTGACAGTAGTGGCATTTATCATCTACCCAGCAGCAGCAAACTCCTTTAATGTGGACTCCCTACGAGGACAAGCCGTTTGCAAACAGCTCAAGGACACCATAGCCAAAATCAAAGAAAATGTTGCAAATCGCATGTTTGAATCATCTGTTAGGTAAGCGCCCTTTTTGCAGCTCTCCGCTTCCATTGTAGGTTAATTTCTGGGCTTCCGATGATTTGCCGAGATGGGTTTTTGATATCTCTCTCCGTGCGTAGAGATTTACGGGTTCAATTTCGTCGCGATCAACTGTTTACCGAGCGCGTAGCATTGGTTAACGGATGAATCTAATGGGACAATTATTGCCTCCCGCAATCACCTCTCACGCTGCCAACCAGCCGACAGGCACTTCTTTATCTCACGAGCAACGGCGAGAAATGAGGATACGAGACCAATCTCCGCTAAGCTCAAGCAGAACTGATGCCTCGTGCTGAGAGTACAAGCGCTAGAAGGAGTCACGCCATGAGTAATTCGCATTGAATGCTGTTTACCAGCAATAACACTCGCATCTGTTCCACTCATAGTGTACATAATATCACTGAGTAGTACAAATAAGAGAGATGCTTTTTTCCTAAACAGAAAAGTGCATCAACGATTCTTTTTTTCAGAGGAAAAGTGCCCGAACCAGAAGACTTGCTCCTACCAGCTGAAAAAGTTCAACTCAAACGTTGCATCTTGGCGGCAAAGGTATTATCCGCTACTCCCATCTTTTTTTCGCACATTTCTTAGTGCAGTGAAGAAGGTTTTGGGATGTGTGAAGGATTTCTTAGCAAGTGAGACCGCTTGTTTTCTTGCGAATGCTCTTCGAAAAGAGATCCTGCCTTCTGCCTTGATATCCACTAAGACGAAGTTTAATTTACGAAAGCCATATGCTGTCTGCGCACTAAAATTGAAAACAGTCTGAAAAGCCAGACAACTTCCTGCAATTTCTGTTTTCGTGTAGTGAGAGCAAAGGAAGGGTTCCATTGAAAAGTGCCCGCGATCATTTGCGTCTTTCTTCGCAGGGTAACATCAATAGTCATTTATTTTCTCTGCTAGATGATTTTTGAGCAGTTCAGTCACTTAAGTCTGAGACGCTGGAGTTCAGAACAATCGGAGTTGTCTGCTGCCGGATTACTTCTAATAAGCCTTGTCTCCTATGCGCATATCATATGGTCAACGTAGGATCATGGAGACGCTATCTACTTTACATGATGAAATTCTCTGTAGAATTCAAGCACAACTTCTCAAAAGGTGCTCATCCATGAATTATTTAGATGTATCCCTGGGATCAGATATTGCAAACATAGAACTTTGCGAGGGTAATCCCATTTTTCCATCTACGCAAAAGATGCAAATTGGGGCGCATTTTTTATGGGTGAACTTGAGTGCATTCAGATTTAGATGAATCAGCTGTTCGCCTAAATGAGTTTGCACTACAATAACAATTTTGCCATTTTTCAAATGCTTGTTCCGATACTGGGCTTAGGACTGATTCATTAGTGCTAAATGGTGCTACCTTTCACACACGCTAATTCATGAGATCTGGTCAATTGCTGGTCAGACACAAAGGTTTCATTTTGTTTAGAATTCGGACGCGCACTGTGGGCATGATTTACGCTAATTTGTTGAGTCTTGGCTGTTATGATATGTACGTAGTTGGATGAAATTGTGAAGGGAATTACTAGATTAGAGTGTTATCCCCCTTCAAAATCCATGGGGATTTCAAAAATGTAGGGTAGTGAGCTTTTAAATTGTAAAATTGTATATACAGGTGTTTCTGATTTAGATTTTTGACAATTTCTGCGAATTATTCTTATGTACCTAGAAAAAAGACCTTCTGACACCACATCTGTAGCTCATCCTCAAATAAACGTCGTGAAAGAGTGTAGAGCCAGATGTTGCGGAACATTGCGCTCATTTGCCTTCTGCTCCAAACTATGCTTAGAAATGAGAAAATACGAGCAGATGGGACACGAATAGTGGTCTGATAGGCAATGGACGTGTTTGTTTGATGAGAAGCAGCGTGGCAAAGGGGTAGTGAAAGCCTATTGTGTTCATGTGTCGTGATTACAAACCTGTCATATGCACATAGGAGTTATTATACGAATGTAGGCAACATAGCAAAGAGAAAGGGCATAAGAGGAAAAAAAGTGGAAGTGTACAAGTTTTTCTTATAATTTCCTCTTATAAGCGTGACAGCCTGCCACCAATCTGCACCCACAACATGCTGGACAGCGCCAACGATCCAGTACTGCAGTCTCTTCGTCGTGTACAGCTGTTCAATCATGATTATGATCGAGTGAAGGTGAGCTTGAGCATCTCCCTCTTCTTACTAGTCGTAAAAGAGTTAACGCCGTATTTTTGGGGAAACCCAGTCTAGAGTTATGACTAGCTGCCGCTGCTTCTAGCTCTTCATGCTAATTTTCCTCTAAAAAACATGAAATTTTCTGCTGCTGATGTTTACAACACTCTTCTACATAGCCGTATGTTTTCTTCTGACTACAAATTTTGAAATTGTAGGTGTCTGCGTTGCAACCACTTTGTAGGCTATCAATTGTTTTGCGTTTGTACGAAAACATTGCAACAACAACTCGAATAAATGACGTTTACTGTCTAGAAAAAAAGAATCTATCTGGAATTTGTTCAAAAAGAAGAGCAAAACTCGGAAAAAAATATCTTTTCTGTCTTTAATGACAGTAGACGGATCCACATTTTCCGCTACACTCACTTTGAAAGAGATGCAGACAATGCCTTATGTTTCTCATTCTAAAAATACTCTTTGTCATTGCATAAATTTAAGTAAGCGCCTTTTCTCAACTCCTAGCCTAAAAGAGAACCTTTTTTTGCCGTTCACTTTGTTTCAGCAAAAAAAGATGTATGCTCTATGTTCAACTGTCAACACTAGAATCTATCACGATTTCTAAGAAAAAAATAATAATACGGATTCTTCATAGGTGGTTTTCCATCCGGAATTCCTCTCATCGGTATCTCCACTTATTGGTTTGGATTACGAAGATTTTGTGCGCGGATGCCATCTCGGAGTATTTCCAAGCTATTACGAGCCATGGGGATACACGCCAGGTATGTAAAGTAATCAGCTTTAATGGCGTTAACTTCCTGTAGGTGTATCAGCTCAGCAATTAATCACTCATCTAGATTATTCTGTGTTGAGAATGAAGTACGGGGTTTGTTCGCTATCATCATTGCTTGAAAGCTTGCACTTGCACGCTTCTAGGATGACTTTGTAAGGATATACTCTTGCTAAAAATTTTCTGCAAAATTTCTGCTACTTCTAATATTTACTTAGAGACATCTAAGAATCAATTGTTTTTAAGACTTTGTATGGGAATTTTCAAGTTTTCTTTCTTGGGAAAAGGGAAATAAGAAAGTTTACTCTCCTGTGCAAAAGTGATCAAAACGTCATTTCAGTGTGAAAGAGCTACATATTTGAACATGTCCAAATAAATTTGCTTGAGATAGATATTAGTGGACCACAATGTACTATGAATTGTTTCGTAAAAGCTGAAGTTTTGATGTTCTTCTCCAAGAAGATGACACCATGTGGCAATCCGCTTTGTGTTGAAATATGTATTACAGACTATTTAATGAGAGGGATAGAATATAAGTCATAAAAGTCAGTGGAGTGGTGATTGGATTTAGATAGATGGTTCGACTACATATCTCGTTGTACATATAGGCTTAGCATTATGTCCAAGGTGCCGATTTTATCAATTGGGTAACAGTAATGAGGTACAGGTGAATGCAACTATGATGTTTTTTCAACGTAAGGTTGCGTAGGATCTCCTCGAAATACCGTTATGATTTTCTTAGTACCTGAGTGCCTATTTGTGGAGATCAATGTTCCAACGTTAGCGGTTTTATTCATTTTCTTTCACTTTCGAA